TGGTCTACAGAGCAAGTACCAGAGAAGCCTGGTCTTGAAAAAACAGAAAGGAATAAAAAAAAACAAAACAAAAATAACAGTAAAACAAAACTATGGAGCTGGGCATAATGGCACACCTTTAATGACAGAACTTAGGAGGGGGACCTTTGTGAGTTCAAGGCCAGCCTAGTCTACATAGCGAGTTCCAGGACAGCCAGAGCTTGTAGTGAGCTCCTGTTTCAGGGGAGAAAAACAAAACAAGACAAAAAACTCCAAAAATAAAAACGGAAAGAACTACAAAAAAATTCTTGAACTTTATTTACAGTGATGTTGGAAGCTAGGCTTTTGTTACAAAAGAAGGGAGACCAAATATGGAATAAGAGAAAATGGCAAAGAACCTGGACTGTCCAATTCACAATTCAGTTGGATAACTCAGAGGAACTTATTTTTTTAAAAAAGATCTTGGTTCTTGTCCACAGAAAAGGCCGATCTGCAATGGAAGGAATTACCAATGAGAGAAAACATATGCAGAATTTGGTTTTGAAATATTACTCTATTATATTGCCAATATTAGGATCCTATGGGGAAAAACAGCTGATCCCGGTGTGAAACAAGGAAAATGACAGGAGCCAGCCATTGGTCAAACATGGGTAATTTAGCACCAAAACTCAATATGATGGCAATATTAAATGAACTAAATGGTATTTTGGGAGAATTTTTGTCCCATAATGCTTTGTCTGGGCATTTTTTTTAAACCTTGCAGAATGCTTATTTATGTTTTTATGGGATTTCTATGTGTTTGAGTGTTTGTGCTTTTCCATTGGCTCTCTTTTTTTCCTGTTTATTTTGTCCTATTCTGGATTGTTGTTGTTTTTTAGTTGTCTGTTTATTTCCTAATTAGAGAAAGACTGTAGATCTGGGTGGGTGAGGAGTTGGGGAGGATCTGGGAAGAGTTGGGAGAGAAGAAACCATGTTTAAAATATATTGCATGAAAAAAATCTATTTTTAATAAAAACTTGAATTATAAATAAATTTAAAACCTAATTTGGGTATCGAGAAAAGGCTCAGCAGTTCAGGGCTCTTGCTCCTCGCTCTTACAGGGGCAAAGTTTGATCCCTAGCATCTACACTGGGCCAAGTCGCAGAATCCTAAAATTCCTGTAGCTCCACCAAATCTGACAGCCTCTTCTGGTTTCCACAGGTTAGCGTGCGTGTGCGCGCGCACACACACACACACACACACACACACACACACACACACACACACACACACCCCATACCCATAGACACATATAAATAGAAATAAATCTTAAAAAAAGAACAAACTCGAGTTTAAGGAGCAAAAATTATAGCTATAATAATTACACACAGAAAATAATTTTAGGAACAAATATAGAAGAAATGGTTTTTGCTTTAATCACATTCTTTAGAGCCCCCAATATAATAACTAATACAAGTAAAAGTATTCACTGAATGTCAAAAACAATGAGTAAAAGCTACTGAGGTATTTGTATGATCTCAATGTAACATCTATAGTAAAGATGGATCTTTATAATGGATCTTGTTGTCAGTTTAAATCTAACGATAAATGCAGTGTTACTCAGGTGTGACTACTGAAGAACTTTTATCTTCAGTCTAATCATACAGAAACAATCAGACAAACTCACAATAGTGGATACTGTACAAAAGAATTACCCCAGCCTTCAGGAGGAAAAGGCGCCTGCCATGAAAAAAACATACAAAACCCACAAAAAGGTAGGGACATAATACTAGATAAAAAGACACACAGATACAACAGCCATGACTGGATCTTGGATGATGAAAGTAAAATAAAAAAACATAAAATACTGTTTGGGAACAAATGGAGAAATTTAAATAAAAGCTATATACTATTCAATTACTATTAGTATTCTAAAGCACAGTAATAGTTAGAAAATAACTTATTTTAGAAGATGAATGTCAAAATATTAAGGAGTGAAATCCAAAATATGTCTATTTACTATCAAATGGTTCATAAAATTTGGGGCAAATACTGCAAGATGTTACCAGGCAAATACAGATCAAGCACATGTAGATTCATACATTTTAAAATAAAAGCTTTTGGGGGACAGGAATCCCAGTTGAAAGATCAGAACTCTGAAGGCTTTTTTGCTTTGTTCTTGTGGAATTATTTTTCCTACCTTTGGTATTACACAGCACCCTGTATTTCTATTCTAGCACTTAACACGTTAACTGCCAGTTTGTAACTTTCTCCAGAAACCGCTTGGAACTGGAATTAATTCTTTATCTGGTACTTACTAGGTATTAGGTGTGTTGTTGTATGATTGAGAAGAGTGACATGATGAAAACAATTAAGCCATAATTGAAACCCATTTATTGTTCGTTATCACATTGATCCTCAAATTTAATCAAGAAGGAACCCTATTAAATGAACTTACATTACCTGTACCACTACAATGGATGTCCAAATCAGCACTTAATTCAAAATTTTTTGTTGTAAATTTTTTCATTTTCAACTCAAGAAAGTTAAGCATACCTGCTCCGTATCTTTAGTGTCCTTGGAATTGGAGGTCTGATTTTCTCCAGGCTGCTCATTTTCCCATGGCAATTTGTTTTTCCCCTTCCCAGCACTTAATACCCTTCGGGTACAGATCGTTGGACTGTAGGATCCATACAGTTGCAAGCTGTCCCTTGTGTGGTCACCACAGTAACAGTGTGCACTCTGAGTTCTGTTACCAGACATAAGCCAGTCTGTATCTGCTCCATGTGCCAAATGGCTCGACCTACCCTGGGCAGAAGATGGCATGAGTATTGCATACTCCACAAACCCCTGCTCTGTCAGCCGTGGAAGAGTTTTTCTGGCCAATCTGGCCTGCACAGCATTCATCACTCCATCTCCATTATCTTGCAATTCAACAGCATCTACAGCTTTAAAAAGGACATTGGTTTTACCTGAGCCCATTGACGATGCCAAAACAGCAAAGGCTTCTAGAGCTGCCTGGCGGACCCTGCGTTTGCTATCTACAAGAGCTGGAGCAAGATCAAAAGACAGTTTGGGCAAGTCAAAATCCTCACTGGGGTAGGTTAGGAGGGAACAGATGCAAATGTTCACTACTTCCTCTCTGACTCTGGAATGCTTATGTTTGAGATTCTCCAGGAGCAAAGAAAGCACCTGCTGAGGACCTACTTCTTTCATTAGCTTTAGGAAGATTTTCATGTATTCCTGCTTGATCACCAACTTGTTGTCTGCTAGCACTTTCACAGAAGCCGCTATAACTGGTCCCAAAAACTGGTGTACCTGCTCTCCCAGGCCAACGACCAGTAAATGCAGAACTTGAAGTGTGCCATGGACCACTTTGAAATTGGAATCGTCTAACAGATTATACAGTAAGCTAATGAAACCAACGAGACTAGAATGAGGAGTAGAGCTTGGGTTAAATTTTCCCAGCAACAGCTTTAGTTCCTCAACAGCCTGAGTCCTGTTCTTGTAGTCTTCCTGATCTAGCAGTCTTGCATGCAGCTCCTGAGGAATAATCCCAAATTTAAGATTGCTATTGGAAAGAGTCACTACACAAGGGGAAGGATCTTCAGAAAACCCAGAAGTTTCTAGCTCCAAATAATAAGGAACCTGACTTCCAAACTGGGACTCCAGGCGGCGATTGTAGTGCCTCCTCAGAGCAGAGGGCAGACGAGAGATGTAGGACTGAAACCGCTCTTGACCAAGTCGTTCTCCAATTTGTTGAAGTGTCGAGAATGCGGTCTCAGATTCTTCTTCCATCTCTTGATCGCCGAGTTTTCGGGCCAGAGATATTATTAGTTCCGTGAGATCCAAGCCCAGCAACAAATCCTCAGGAGTAAGCAAGATAGGGAGCAGCAGCGCGGTGGAGGCTCTAAGCCGGGCATCTGGGCTTTCCAGGCCTTGTATCAGCGTTCTCAGGACCTGGCCAGAACTACGCCTCAGACACACGTGCAGGATCTGCAGCGCATCTTTCCGTAGGGCTGGGTTATCCTCTCGTAACGAGACAACGAGCTGGGGCAGAAGCGCTAAACTGAAGGCCTCTTCCAGCTGACCTGCCTCCCCCTGGCCCCGAAGGACGTCCGAGAGGAGCTGCAGGCAGAGTCTCTTCTCATCACTGCCGCCCTCCACAAGCACTCGGCCCAGCGCCCGATACAAGGCTTCCTTGCGGCGGGGGAAGCCAAGCCGGCCGCCCCGGCGCGGCAAGGCAGCCTGCAAAGCCTGGAACGCCTCGGAAGGATCCGGCGCGGTGCGCAGGAGTTGAAGGAGCCGGGTCTCCTCCTCGTCTCCTCCCGACAGCCCACTCCCGGGCCCCGACCAGCTGCCGGACACGGTCTCGGCCGGCAGCAGGAGGGTCGAGGTCAGAGGCGACGGCGTCGAGGGGCAGGAACCGTGGTCCCCCGCCGCCCCACGGCAGTAGTAGTTTTTCTCGCCTCTCATGGTGGCCCCAGCCCGACGACCATCAGTCCCTGGGGCGGAAGGACGACCGCGGCTCGGGAGGCGACAGGAACCAAGGGTGGCCAGGGGAGGCAGCAGGAGCAGCTCGGAAGGCGCGGCCGCCATGGAGGGTCGTCAGGTGGCAGTGGCTGGAGGGAACCATCGCCGTCTGGGGAGGGCTGGAGGAAGCCCAGCCTTCCGGCTCCCCTCCGAGGCCCGAGGTGCGGGGGATGGGAAGGAACGGCTCCCGTCAGCTGCCAGGCCGCTCCGGCCTTCGATTCCCCGGAGCCAGCCTCCGCCAAAATGGCCCCCGCCCGAGCCCGGGACCCCACAGTCGCCACCCGGCGTAACCAGGGCCACCACGTGACCAAACCGAGCGCTTCCATGGTGATGCACCCTGCTCGGCCCTCTTGACCCGGAAGTCGGTCTCCCGAGGTGCATGCTGGGTCGTGTAGTCCACGTAAGGAGTTTCGCCTACGCTGAAGACTCCTGGGAAGAGGAAGTCGGAATGTTGGCAGGTAGCCAGAGCGGTGGGAGGGGGGGAGTCAAACCCTGAAACGGAAGTGACGCTTCCCTGTACGGGGCGGAAGTTTCCCGCCCCACCCGTAAGAGTTAAGGTTTGACCAGCGCAACTGAGCATCTTGTAGCCCGGTTCCAGTTTTCCTTGGCTCCTCCTCCTGTCACTGCGAGTCTGATTCCTGGGACTCAGGTATTTTCCGTTTTGCTGTTTTCCCGCGGTGCAGGCTTTGGCCGAGTGTTGCCCGTGTGCCGCATGAGACAGAGTAAAGAGGTAAAGGTCTGTGCCGGAGCAGGCACAGAGGCAGACATATTCTGCAGGGCTGGTTACCCTTGCAAACGTTCTACTCTTTACCATCCTGAGTGAGATTCTTTCTTCCAGCAGACTGCCCATCCGTACTGGAGAACCCAACCAAGGTCACTATTATAGACTGATTATCCTTCTTCTTTCTTTCTTTCTTTCTTTCTTTCTTTCTTTCTTTCTTTCTTTCTTTTCCTCTTCCTCCTCTTTCTCTTCTTCCTCCTCCTCCTCTTCTTCTTTTTGCATTATTCCAGGTCTTTGGGAACCTTCCTTGTCCCGCCTTCCTCTTCCACGCTTCCTTTCCCTTTCCGCCTGCAGGTTGTGCATTGTAAAAGGCTTCTGTCACTTTTCATTGTCCGCACCACTAAATTTTCTTAAAGATGTGCAGAATCTGCCTTTCCCCTATTTAGCTAACCATTTTTGCATTAGACGTGGTGCTTAAGATCTTTCTAAGGTAGCTCCTCCACTCTGTGGGACTCACCCCTTTCGCCCACCTGCACTTCTCCAATCTCCCAGTAGGATCCTCGAGCGTCTCTGCAGTCTCTCGGTCTCCTGGAGACGGAGATCGCTAGACAATTTCAGTTGTGGTGCAAGTTCTTGGTATCACAGTCCTAAGAGAATTCTGCCCAGAGGATTTCGGGTTGATAGACATTTTAAACGAACTGAGAATTTGATAGCTGATGGGTGTTTTCTCTTTGCAAATGAAACTATAAGTAAAAGTAAGAGTATCTCCACTAAGGCCATACGCTTTGGGTATGAAAGAGCAACTTTTGTTTCTGTATTTGAAACATACAATTGCTATGTGTAATCCAAGCTGACCTTGAACTCTCTGTTTATTTGTTCTTTTTTTTTTTTTTTCTCCCCGAAACAGGGTTTCTCTGTAGATTTGGTGCCTATCCTGGAACTTGCTTTGCTTTGTAGACCAGATTAGCCTTGAAGTCATAGACATTCGCCTGCCTCGGCCTCTCAAGTGCTGAGATTAAAGCCGTGTGCCACCATACCCAGCTAGCTATATTACTTTTTGAAATTTTGGAATAATTGAGTCACATGTGCCAAAGTGCTTTATGACAATAACTGATAGTCCTGGTGATGCAAGTTGAAAATTTCTCTATTAATTTTTATTACAGCACAATTTAAATATCATAGACTTTTTCTTTTTTTTAAGCATAGTTATGTAGTCACACAACGACTACATGACTGTAAGACCATGTTGCCTATGCTTTGTTGAAAGCCTAGGTAGTTTTCTCACTAGCTTTTGGTTTGTGGTTTGTGATTTGCAGTTGCTGTTTTGTCTTGTTTCACTGTGCTGGACATTGAACCCAGGACTTTGCTTATGATAGGGAAATGCTCCACCACTGAGCTACATGATGGCTTTCATTGATCTTTTTGATATGTAAGTGGATCTACCTAAGCTTGGTAGAAAAGCAACAACAAAATCACTGCTGTCCCCACCTGTTTTCTATTTTTAGATCTCTGAGTTCGAGGCCAGCCTGGTCTACCGAGTGAGTTCCAGGACATCCTCCAAAACAATACAGAGAAACCCTGTCTCGAAAAAAAAATTTAGAGGCAGAATAAGGACAGGACTGAAAATCAAGAGATGATTGTCACATCTGTCATTGAGAAAGAGTGACTGCCAAATGTCTGGGTCTTGGTAGAGCACTTGCCTAGCATATGCAAGGTTCTGGATGACATTCATGGTACTGTGGAAAAAAGCACGGGGTGGGGTGGGATGGGGTAGGGTGAGGTGGGGCTTGCCAGATTCCTATTTCCAACCTAAAAAGCTTAAATATATACTTGTATTCATATGTGCTCAGTCTTCAGGAACCCAGTCCACGTGAAAGGAAACAGGAGAATGATGGATGCATTAGAATGTATACATTAGAATGCTAGTTTATGTTGGCACAGAAGGTTATTCTTTCTGGCTATCAGAATTTTCAGATTGAAAAATCCAGCATACTCTTCATGTATCTAAGAATTTAGGAAGCCAAGTTACTAACCAGACTAAGGTTGTGTGGAAATCAGTATCAAAGAAAAGGAACTTAGAAAGTTTTGACTGATATTTCATTATTAGTTACGACAGAAATTTAAAAGTGGTCTATAAAGAACACTACTCATAAATTAAGCAGTTGCCCTGCCATTTTCCTTTGAAAAGAGCAAAGCAAGATGAGTCCTTCTTTCTCTCAGGTCCCTGTGGCTCAATGTTTGTTACAGATTGTAATTATTTTATATCTATTACATTATGACTCCTTGAAGATTTGGAAAATACATTAGTTTGATTGTGGATATTTAGGAAATGAGACTTCACTGTTGCATATCTTACTATCTTTTATGATGATCTTATAGAATATAAATCTTATTTGTTTAATATATATTTTATTTATATCTATTAAAAGTACTTAAGTGTTTAGGAGTGCTTTCTGTATTTACTAGAAAAGCATTCATATGTAATAATAGGTTAGATAAAGGACCTGTTTTTTTTCTCCCCTTTGGATTTTCAAGACTTGATTTTCTCTGTATAGCCTTAGTTATCCAGGAACCCACTTTGTAGACCAAGCTGGCCTTGAACTCAGAGATCAACCTGCCTCTGTCTCCCAAGTGCTGGGATTAAAAATCATGTGCTAAAGAACAGTGTTTTAGTAAGATTATAGGATATGAATACACTTTCTGTTACATTGTAAAATAAGCCTCAGGAAATTGAAAGGAAGTAGTTAGGGCTATGCTGAAAATTGCAAATTTAAAGCAAAATTTCAATGCTTTCAAAATAATTTAAATCAAGGTAGCAGATTACAGGAAGGCATGTGCTACCTACCTTCTTTCTTTCAGCTGTGCTTAAGAAGGGTAGACACGCTGCTCTAGATAATGTCTTATTTCCAGAGTCAGAGATAATGAATTTGTTGGATGAATCACTGTAACAGACTTTCTGGGTCCACCAGCCCCCAAATCATGACACAGAGACTTAGTAGTAGTAGTTATGAATGCTCGGTTTGATCTTATGCTCATCTCACTAGCTCTTATAGCATAATTTAACCTTTTTTTTTCTTTTTTCATCTATAGTTTGCTTAGGGGCTTTGCTTTTACCTTTCATCCTGTATGTCCTTCTTTTCTACTTCCTCCATATTTGTCTGGTGGCTGCTTGACTGACTGCCCCTGGGTGTCTCCCTCTCCTTCTCCCTCATCCTCTCTCCAGCCTCGATTCCTCCTTCTACTTATTTTTCCTCTGTCCTCCAGTCCCCTGCCAATTTCTCTACTGCTAGCCATTGGCCTTTCAGCTTTCTGTTAGACTAGTCAGGTGCCTCAGGCAGGCAAGGTAAAACAAATGCAACACATCTTTATATAGTTAAACAGTTATTCTGGAACACAAACAAATGCAACACATCTTTACATAATTAAACAGGTATTCTATTCCAAAACAAATCACTTTATGTCTTTGTATGTTCTTACCCAAATTTTATAGGGATCCCTGAAATATTAGAAATGAAAATAAATTCGGTAAACTATAAAAGTGTGTATAATCTAAGAAGTTGTCATTACTAAGTACAGTGGAACCAACAATTTTAGCTCATTTATTGTGTGTTATGTGCCAAATACTGTGCTAACTACTTAGTAAATATTAACTTATCTAATCTTCATAACAGAGATTCTATATTCTTCATCTGTATTAGATATAGTTTAAGGATCAGAAGAAAGTAAAACTCAAATTAGTCAGTTTTGCTGTTGCTTAGAGCTTTTAGAAGTTTGGTGAAAAGGGAAAAGGGTGCTAAAACTGTAGGATAAAATTAACTTTTTTCCATAATTAATCTTTATATTTTTATGTATTGTTTGATTATATGTTTTTAATCTCCTTTTTCTGCTTCTGTTCTGAATCTTTTCATTATTTATGTCAGATCTTTAATAACGTTAAGGAATTATAAGCTTTTGTTCTTGTTTGGAGACAGGGTCTCTCTCTATATATATATTTCTGATACATATTTCCAAACCCAAAACACAAGGATTTTTATTAGTGACAGGCAGCTAATTTTACTTTTGTTTTTCTAGATACAATGCATATAGTTTTCAGAGAAAATGCAATATTGTCACTTTATTCTGTAGATACACACACACACACACACACATATTATATAGGTTGAATTCTACGGTAAGGAAAGCTGAGCAATGGGAAAAGAATTTAATGACAGCAGTTATGATAAAAATTGATTTGTTAAACCACATATATATGTGTATATATATATATATATTTTTTTAAAAAACAGCTCTCATTTCTTCTCTATTTACTTGCTATGGCTGTGATCTATATTTATGTGATGGCAACTAATGGCCTCCCCGCTGATTTCAACACCACTTCTTTGTAGCTTAGATGTCAATTAAGTAGATAGGTACTAAACTCGCAGCCTGATCTTTATTATCTTGGTTTTAACGTATTACCAATAATAGCACAGCATGAATATCATTAGAAATGAACTACAATGCTGTTGCCTTGTTGAAACTTTGGCATTAATACTGTTTGCTCAATATTGACTAATTCAGTTCATAGATATATAGTACTCTTAAGTATTAACAAAAATTAATACAAATGTGTTTATTTATCATTTGTCCTTTGTAGACTTTTTTTTTTTAGATTTGTTTGTTTGTTTAAGACAGGATCTCACCTTGTATCTCAGGCTGGTCTGGCCCTCATCATAAATCTTCCTGCCTCAGCCGCTTCGGTGCTTGGATTGCAGACATGAACCACCAGTCTCAGCTCACATATCACATATTTTATGTATTTATATATTCAATTAACATATGCCCAAAGTCATAGAGCTGTTAGGTAGCCAGATGTGGGCTTAACTCAGACCTGTGGCTCTAGCTCATATTTTGTTCACTCTACTTTCCTGTTTTCAATGGTCTTGCCC